CCATGTCAATCAGAGGCAGTGTGGCAACTTTTGACTTTCTCAGAAAATTTAAGTGATATGTCTTCATTTAGACATGAAATTCCAGGAGGTCTTTGTGGATGGTCGTAGGGACACTTAATATTTTGATGGTGAGAGCAGCACTAAGTTATTGTGTGTGCCTGTTTCTGAGGATTTATATAACCATATTTCACTATTATATGGTTCCCCATGATTTAAATAAAACCTTTCAACAATTTTAATTAAAAGTTATCCTGTGTATTTACAATTTTATTTTGCCATGATTTATCTCACATATATATTGTTTTTTATTATTTTATAAATGTTTATATTGGCAGAGCATTTAGTGAATCAAAGGATGTATAACAACTTGTGCTATATTTTTGGGTGTTAACAGATTTTCTACGAGGGATGTTACATTGTACTGCACTGCACTGCCCTGCAATGAGTGTTTTTTAAAGCCATGTATTTTTCTTTATGGCTGTGTGTAATAAAGTTGTTTATAATAAGGAATATAAAAAAAAACTACTTCTCAATTCCTTGGAATGGAAGCATTGTTTATCTGTCTCTCTAACTCACTGGGCGCCATTTGTAACCGCTGCTCTGTGACCTTGGCTGGAAATTCCAGATTCCAAATAGTATGCCGTTATAATTCCTGATTTTTATAGAACAGCAAGTGTAACTGACAATATGGAAATTCTGACTGTTTTATAAAACTTTTCATATATAGTGGATATTACAATCCAAAAGGCAGTAATGCAATAATTAAAAATCCTGTCTGTCTCTTTCATTTGGGGTGTCCTGGAACTAATGGACCATGCTGAGCTGGTATATTAGGCATATTAGGCAGTTTACCAAATATGTATATATGTCTCTCTTGTCATATTAATTAAGATCCACAATTTCAGCATTGTATGCTAATTATAGTGTACCTAGCATCTGAACTCAAAGTGCCTTGTACAAGTTCACTTAAAATCATCTCTCCATGATGAAGATTTCTCTCTATGTCTGGACTACAAACAGCTTAATAGATTCTTGATATTTCAAGAACTGTGCCATTACAAAGTATTGTGTCTTCTCTTACATATAAGAGGTTACCTAGATATATAAATTATTTTATAGTTAAAGCTTCCAAAGTACAAGCCCTACGTTTTGCGCCAATTGTAATCGCTGATGGTTTCCCTATTTACCACTATAAGGTCTTAAAGCAGGGGTCCTCAAACTACGGCCCGTGGGCCCTAAACCCAGCCCAAGCACTCAGAGCCACCCAATGGCCCTGTATCTTCAGGGGCCCGGTCAGCGCTGCAGCCGTGCCATAGTGCGACCGGGCCCCTTTAAAAATTTGCAACAGCAAAGTAGTGCTGGGAGGAAGTGGCCGTCACTTCCTCCCAGCTCCCTCCACGTGGGAGGGAAGAAAGACAGGCCGCGAGGAGGGGAGAGCCACGCCGACTCCCATCAGCCACAGCCATCCTCCTGCAAAAAAAGTAAGAAAATTACTTAGTTGTGTGTATCTGTCTCTGTGTATGTATTTCAGTATGTCTGTGTGTGTGTATGTATGTCAGTATGTGTTTGTTTGTGTGTCTGTATGTATGCATGTCAGTATGTGTATGTCTGTGTGTGTGTGTATGTATGTATTTCAGTATGTATGTATTTTAGCATGTATGTGTGTCCGTGTCCGTGTGTTTGTATGTTTGTATTTCAGTATGTATGTCTGTGTGTGTGTGTATGTATGTCAGTATGTATCTGTGTGTGTGTGTATGAGTGTATGTATGTTAGTATGTGTCTATCTGTATGTATGCATGTATGTATGTCTGTGTGTATGTATGTCAGTATGTGTCTATCTCTATGTATGCATGTCTGTATGTATGTGTATATATGTCAGTATGTGTTTGTATGCATGTATGTGTATGTATGTATTTCAGTATGTATGTCTGTATGTATCTGTCTGTGTCTGTGTGTATGAGTGTATGTATGTCAGTATTTGTTTGTGTGTGTATGTCAGTATGTCTGCATGTATGCATGTCAGTATGTGTATGTATGTGTTTGTATGTATGTCTGTGTTTATGTATGTCAGTATGTATGTATGTATTTTAGTATGTATGTGTGTGTGTGTCGGTGTGTTTGTATGTATGTATTTCAGTATGTAGGTCTGTGTGTGTGTGTTTATGTATGTCAGTATGTATCTGTCTGTGTGTGTATAAGTTTATGTATGTCAGTATGCGTCTATCTGTATGTATGTGTTTGTATGTCTGCGCTTAAGTATGTATATCAGAATGTGTCTATCACTATGTATGCATGTCTGTATGTATGTGTATATATGTCAGTATGTGTTTGTATGCATGTATGTGTGTGTATGTATTTCAGTATGTCAGTATGTATGTCTGTGTGTATGTATCTGTCTGTGTCTGTGTGTATGTATGAATGTATGTATGTCAGTATGTGTTTGTGTGTGTGTATGTCAGTATGTCTGTATGTATGCATGTCAGTATGTGTATGTCTGTGTTTATGTCAGTGTGTGTATGTATGTATTGCAGTATGTATGTATTTTAGTATGTATGTGTATGTCTGTGTGTGTATATGTATGTATCTGCCTGTGTGTATGAGTGTATGTATGTCAGTATGTGTCTATCTGTATGTATGCATGTATGTATGTATGTATGTCAGGATGTCTGTCTCTATGTATGCATGTGTATATATGTCAGTATGTGTATGTATGTATTTCAGTATGTCAGTATGTATGTCTGTGTGTATGTATCTGTCTGTGTCTGTGTGTATGAGTGTATGTATGTCAGTATGTGTTTGTGTGTATGTCAGTATGTCTGTATGTATGCATGGCAGTATGTGTATGTATGTGTTTGTATGTATGTCTGTGTTTATGTATGTCAGTGTGTGTATGTATGTATTTCAGTATGTATGTATGTCAGTATGTATGTATGTCAGTATGTATCTGTCTGTGTGTATGAGTGTATGTATGTCAGTATGTGTATGTCTGTGTGTGTGTGTGTATGTATGTATTTCAGTATGTATGTATGTATTTTAGCATGTATGTGTGTCCGTGTCCGTGTGTTTGTATGTATGTATTTCAGTATGTATGTCTGTGTGTGTGTGTGTGTGTATGTATGTCAGTATGCATCTGTCTGTGTGTGTGTGTATGAGTGTATGTATGTTAGTATGTGTCTATCTGTATGTATGCATGTATGTTCGTATGTGTTTGTATGTCTGTGTGTATGTATGTCAGTATATGTCTATCTCTATGTATGCATGTCTGTATGTATGTGTATATGTCAGTATGTTTGTATGCATGTATGTGTATGTATGTATTTCAGTATGTATGTCTGAATGTATCTGTCTGTGTCTGTGTGTATGAGTATGTATGTCAGTATTTGTTTGTGTGTGTATGTCAGTATGTCTGTATGTATGCATGTCAGCATGTCTATGTATGTGTTTCTATGTATGTCTGTGTTTATGTATGTATGTATGTATGTATTTTAGTATGTATGTGTGTGTGTGTCAGTGTGATTGTATGTATGTATTTCAGTATGTATGTCTGTGTGTGTGTGTTTGTGTGTATGTATGTCAGTATGTATCTGTCTGTGTGTATAAGTTTATTTATGTCAGTATGCGTCAATCTTGTGTATGTGTTTGTATGTCTGTGCTTAAGTATGTATGTCAGTATGTGTCTATCTCTATGTATGCATGTCTGTATGTATGTGTTTGTATGCATGTATGTGTGTGTATGTATGTATTTCAGTATGTCAGTATGTATGTCTGTGTGTATGTATCTGTCTGTGTCTGTGTGTGTATGAATGTATGTCAGTATGTGTTTGTGTGTGTGTATGTCAGTATGTCTGTATGCATGTCAGTATGGGTATGTATGTGTTTGTATGTATGTCTGTGTTTATGTATGTCAGTGTGTGTATGTATGTATTTCAGTATGTATGTATGTATTTTAGTATGTATGTGTGTGTATGTATTTCAGTATGTATCTGCCTGTGTCTGTTTGTATGAGTGTATGTATGTCAGTATGTGTCTATCTGTATGTATGCATGTATGTATGTATGTCAGTATGTGTCTATCTCTATGTATGCATGTGTATATATGTCAGTATGTGTATGTATGTATTTCAGTATATCAGTATGTATGTCTGTGTGTATGTATCTGTCTGTGTGTATGAGTGTATGTATGTCAGTATGTGTTTTTGTGTGTGTGTGTGGGTGTGTGTATGTCAGTATGTCTGTATGTATTCATGTCAGTATGTGTATGTATGTGTTTGTATGTATGTCAGTGTGTGTATGTATGTATTTCAGTATGTATGTATGTCAGTATGTATCTGTCTGTGTATGAGTGTATGTATGTCAGTATGTATCTGTCTGTGTGTGTATGAGTGTATGTATGTTAGTATGTGTCTATCTGTATGTATGCCTTTATGTATGTGTTTGTATGTCTGTATGTATGCATGTCTGTATGTATGTGTATGTATGTCAGTATGTGTTTGTATGCATGTATGT